AGTGATGGCAAAGTCCATCAAACAGAAACTAACTCATCTCATATTTCTCTGCTCTGTGTGTGTGTGTGTCTGCAGGCTATGTACACTGCCTCCATTCCAGAAGACCTGCCAGTCAACAGTGTGCTGCTGAGGGTTGGAGCTACAGATGCAGATATTGGCATCAATGCCTGGATCCAGTACTCCTTACATGGTCCTGGATCCCAGGACTTCAGCATGGACCCGGACACCGGTATGGACATCGAAGTCGAAGTCGAAGTCAGCTTTCAGGACATAGTTTGGTTCTGAAAACACACCGATACAGTATATTTCTCTTTGAAAACATAACCCCATTTCACTGAACTTGAATAAATTGCTACTTAAATTAATCTAATATGCAGTAAAATACAGCAGTGAAATGGGGCTAGGTAGACACACATTTATTTCTCCATCTCTTAATGTTTCTCAGGTGAGATCAAGTCATCTGTGTTTCTGGACCGTGAGATGACACCCAACTACCGGCTGGTTGCCCAGGCAACTGATGGTGGTGGGCGGTGGTGCCATGCTCAGGTGCAGCTGGTAGTGACCGATGTGAATGACAACCCGCCTATCTTTACCCTGTCTAAGTACACCGCCAGCGTCTATGAAGATACCGCCACAAAAGCCCTGCTCACCCGCATCCAGGCCATAGACCCTGATGAAGGTTATACTACTACTACTACTAGTCGTATTACTGCTATTACTTCTGGTGTTACCACTAATGCAAGTAGTGCTTCAAGTGGTACTATACTATATTTTAGTTAAAATAAAAGTTTTTTTAAAATACAAGGTGTATTAATTTAGAAGAACAGACCAGTAAAGCTACAATTCAGAAGCAGCTTAAAATGGAAGCATAATCAGACACACAGACAAGATCAGATGAGTAACAAGAGCAAAAGTACAGGGAATAATGAAATTAATTAATAAAAGTATGAATAATCTAACAAAATCACAAACTAAATTGTGATACAAATATGTAAAGATGCAATTTGGTGAGATAAAAAATTAATTGTGATACTCTTTTTAAACAGCAAAGGGCGCTATGTACTTTTGACTTTGTTTGCTCGCTTCAATAGCTGTGTCCATAGCCAAAGATGATATACACAACGCTGTGGGGCTCTACGATGTAGGGTGTTAGAGTGGTCTAACTGTAATAGTTTAATCAATTAATGGTTATCAAAAATATAATTATCAAAAGATAATAGAAAATGACT